CACACACACACACACACACACACACCTCATCAACTACCAATTGTTGGGAATAAAAATAGAAAGTGTTGATTAATAAAGTAGCAGGTGCAGAAAGGACTGAAGGGAAATTGCAGGAGCCATGACGCACTTTAATGTTCAATCTCTTTCTTCTCAAGTCAAGTCAGTTTTATTAATATCGCTCAAAATAACCACTTTCTCCCCAGGGAGGTTCAGATCTGTGTGTGACCTGCGACTGACTTGCGAAAGACTCTGCAGACCCTCGATTTGGATAAAGCGTATTTATTTTTATGAATAAATGCCCCGTGTGACCAGGATTTGATTCCTGACTCTCTCTCTCACACACACACTAAGCCTTTAGAGAAAGACAGGCTGGCACATCAGCATATAATAACCCACTGAATTACAGAAGCCTCAGATACTTTAAAGATGCGTCCTTTTTTCCAGCAGAAGTCCCATAAATTCTTCTCTTCTTCAGAAATGTGTGAAACCATAAAAAACAGTCTATCCTCATTTGAATTTGGAGATAAGCAGATATAATTGTCTTGATGAAAATGAGTGGTGGTATTTTTAAAGGGAAGTCCCAGTCAAACATATAGGACTGTAGTTTTTCCTCATTTGGATCTCCAGCTGGACACAAGTTAAGTCAGGTCACTTTCTCCAAAACGCAGCAGACAGAATGTATAGGGGGGGTAACAAACCTCTGGGTAACAAATATGAAGTGGTGTGTGTTTGCTCACCTCTCTGCCTCACACTTCGAGGTACGAGCTGTGTGAAGGCGTTGTCGCAGGTGACGTTTGAAGCCTCGAAGCTCCCGTTACCTTGGATCGCATCCGCCTGCGCTCCGGCGCACTCGGGGGAGGTCGAGGTCTCATTTTGCGCGTAAAGATCCATATTTTGGATTCAGAGTTACAGAGAGTTCAAATCACAGCTTCTGTCCAATTTCGTCTGGGTCTCTAAAGGGGTGACAAATAACGCTCTCTGCATCCGTGTCCCATCTCACCTGGTGAGCAGAGTTAAGATGTGGTGAGCGACTGTCTCCCGATGTCCAAAACAAAAAAAGAAAAACTGAACATAATTAGTTTACCTATTTCCGATGTTTTTCCGCCTGTACTGAAGATGCGTCTCACTTGGCATCACGCGAGTTGATCAAGGATCTGTGCGCGCCAGGAGAGAGAGGAGGGAGGAGGGAGGAGGGAGGAGCGCGGCGCACTGCTGCGCCTCTGCCAAGTGAAGCACATGGAGAGAGCGACTGACTGCAGAGTGTGGAGGACTAATGTAGGGCTGCTGGTGTGTGTGTGTGTGTGTGTGTGTGTGTGTGCATGTGTGTGAGGGGTGGACATCACTGAAAAAGTACACACACACCATCAGTGCTGAGCAAACTGCTGCTAAACATTTTTAAGTGGTGCCAGACGCAGAGGACACAGACTGAAATTAACCTGAACAATCATTAAGAGGTTTTTTTTTAATACAGGAAAATAGAAAATAGCCTGAAAGATACTGTATCTCGGCTCTTGACCTGTGATGCTGTTGCAACAATATCACTGAATCTTTTATTAGAGATACAGTTTGGAAGAAGAAAAACAAACATACGCTATGAAATGTTCCATAACTCTGATGTGACAGGTCCAACGCACTTTTTGTGGTTTCACAATCTATTTTAAAATTGTGGGTCATATTAAATGAATGAGACTGATGAGAATTTTAGAGAATTTAACATGATGCATTGCATGATCATTTTACAGTCTCTTGATTGCTCCTCTTTTATATCAATAACATCTGCTGACAAACCTTATTCATTAAAACCTTATTAGAGCTTTGTTCAACAAAAGCGCCTGTTGTGGTTGCAGGTGCTCACTGTCGCCCCCATCTGGTGTATGGGTGCACTTTCTGTCTTCATCAATAAGCTCTGTGCTGATTGTGGAAGATTCTGGGCAGCAGGGTTGTCTCAGTCCTCAGCAAGAGTACAAACATTCTCATTTCCTATTAAAGGATGATCTTACTTTATCTTAAGCCATCTTTCACAAAAACTTGTGATTCAATGTGTGCAGGTTACAAGCTTGTTTGTGTCTTCCGCACCACCTTTACAATTGGGAGGTTTCAACTGTTCTGCTTTCTGAGGCATGTTATTGCTGCAGACAATGAAGGGTTTAGCCTCTGAATGCTCAAATAACTCCCGGCAAATGGCTCCCATTATTTCAAGCAGCCCAGCTCTCATCCTTCTCCCGCTCTAATTAGCCGGCTCGGTCAGGTCCTGTCCACAGCCTCTTAGCCCCTCATAAACAAGCCACGTAAGGATGCTTATCAACGTGAGGAGAGAGACTAGTGCTCCCTGTTGAGTGCAGTAATCACAAACTGGCATGACTTGTTAATTACTGATGTTCCACTACTGATGACGACTGGTTGGAGATAATCACTTGTGGTGTGGCGTTTTGCTCATGCCTGTATCCTCTCGTTGCTACAGCATATGAATACTTTGCTGCAGCTATAGTAAACACACGATGAGATTATGTTCCGGATCTAATAAACAACTGCAGCTCCGGAGAATTCATCAGTCCGGGAAGCCAGCGTCACGGAAATACTTTTCTTTTGGCAAACACAAGGCAGTGACAGGGGGTAACGGATAATGAATGCATCAGTGCTAAGCCGAGCTGAAGGAGATTCCTGGCTCCTGGACCCCTGTTATCGATTGTTCAAACATGGCTCTGGAGCTGGAGCGGAGTGTGTGGCTGAGTGTGTTTGTGTGTGTTTTAATGGGACCAGAACATCAGCAGTCGCATGAGACTGATCTGAGGATGCATACACCTGGATCAGAGTGTCTGTGTGTACAAGCAGGGAGGCCGGTGCCCCCAAGCCTGCACTGATTCCTCCGTTTCCTGCTGGTGTTCATTAGCAGAGAGTCACGTATTTTGTTTTTACCCATGAGTGCTGTGTAAAAAAACAGCAATGGAAAGTAATGAAGTACATTTACTGTCCTGTACTTGAGTACAATTTGAATCACATAGCTTCAGCATTTGCATTTTATACTTTGCTCCTTTTTAAATGGTGCAACAAAGTGTTAACAAAAGAAGTGTAGACAAGCACAGGGACACACACACACACAGCCAAAAGAGAAAAGACGAGACAAAAACAAAGGGGACACAAACAAACTGAGGAACACGATATAAATTCAACCTGGTGGGTATGAGACATGAAAACAGATAGTCTGTATCTATGTGCAAGGACAAAGATGATGGGGGTAAGGGATGTTGAGTGATGCATGGTATAGGGGCTTTTTTACAAATGAGGTATGTGCATCATCACACACAAAACAAAATGTACATTTTGCATTAGTGCTCACAAGGCTATTAACATTTTATATCTAATTTGTTTTCCACTCCAGGATGCATTGGGGGACCATTTTCAGTCATGGCACTACAACAAACAAACAACAAAAGGAGAATCACAACAGCAAAAGGCAATATTTGTTGTTGTGTTTCCCTTTTTGTCGCCACCGTATGACACTCAAGACGACAATAAATTGAGCCCTTAAGTCTCACCAGGCAGATTCAGGTTTGAACAACAGACATATTTTGACCTTGCTTTGATTTTGTCCACTTAATGTTGTTTTTGGTTTGAATTGGAGAGGACTTCTGAGGAAATGTCACCATCTCTGTGTGTATTCATGGAATTACAGAGATTTATAGTCTCCCTGGAGACTGTGTGAAAGGATAATACTGGAATAATCCTAATAGAATTCAGATCACAATGATTAAACAGAGAAAATGAGCCTCGTCTTGTAGCACAGTAATGAATTAACTTCTGCAGATTTGCTTCTCTTGGCTTTTGTTATGTTATTCTCACCTTTGTCCCGTGCCGAGGACAGTGGTGTAATAACGTGTCTTTTATAACTAAAGGACTCTCCCAGAACACAGTAACCATAAAACTGGAGGACTGAGCTACACCCGAGCTCACCCTGAACTTTGTTGCTCTGACCATAAATGTCTGTTTAGTCCAAGAACAAGAGTAATAAAGGGTTTTTTTAAGCTCACTTCTGATTCATATTGACATGGAAAACGTTTAAATGTGCTGCATTTACATTGACCACCACTCAGAGTGCTTCACACTACGAGTCCCTTTCAACCATTTACACTCACTGATCCATCAGGATACTTTGACATGCGGACACTAAAGGACACCAAAAGACACTTTAGCGGATTGGACGTTCCAATATGAGGACGAGCTGCTTTACCTCCTGAACCACTGTTAAAAAATGTAAATCTTAAAAGAGATGCAAGGAAAAACTTCAACATATAATGTTCCTCGAGGCTCAACAGTCCCTTCATGAAAACACATTTAAATTCACTGGATCCAGAATTTTATTTGGATCTGCACCAAATTGCACACACTCATAACTATGAGCCCCCAACATATGTTTGATTGTTTTCATCAAGATCCTTGAATTATTCTCTGCGGAATTAATGAAAATCATGAAAACCGTCTTATCTTGTAAAACTGAATGGGTTCTTTCTTGGCTCGTGTCTTAACCATCCACATAATTTCACAGAAATTGTTTGAGGAATTTTCGCATTAATCCTGTAAAATATCTAACAAACAATAAATGTAATAAATGAATTATAACATATATCAGGACTCTTTTTTTGAAGAACTGTAATGTGTGAGGTGATACTTGAGTTGGATTGTCACTGTACGTTTGTCTCTTGATTATGTCACACATTGTTTTCCTTTCGTGTTTCAGGGGAAACAATGCAGTTATGTGTGTAAATGAGTACATGTGCAAATGATGCAACTCCTGTGATGTAGTGACTGTGATGTCTGTGCCCATCACCACCTGCATCATCTACATTTGACCTCCGCTGCTTCACGCTTCCATCGTTCTTTCTGAGGGCAGACTGCACAGGGACATGAGACATTTACTAACGAAAAGCTCTGTTAAATAGCTCATCCTTTAGTCTTACCTTTGGCCCTTTGTCAGAGTACCAGCAGAGAGGCAGAGTGGGGGGGGGGGCGGAGGAGGGAGGAGGACAGGTGGAAGCTACAGGAGATAACAACCACGCAGTAACGGGTGAGCTCCTCCTTTGGACTGGGTCAGCGAGCAGAGAAGAGCTGGTGAGCATTTTACCTGCACTGAACATGAACATTTACATCAACTCTCTGAATTGTGACACACATACCTTGATAACAGAAAGCTTCTACAGGCATAATTATCGCTGAATTTGGAAAAAAGCTTGTGTAAATTAATTTTGTGTAACAGAATTTGACGTTTATTAATGCAAATGCACTTGGCAAGGTGTGATTTTTTTTTTGTTTGATTTAAGGAGAAGATTCAAAAGGTATTAAATGATTTAAGATTGAAGGTTTTGTCAACAATGACTTCTTGTCATTAGGAGTCAGAGTGTGGGCATTTTGTTTCATTGTAATCGATTGGAAACACTGATGTTTCATTTTTAATTTATGTTACAGATGTTATGTACAAGTAATGCAGTGGATTATAATTATCGGTGTTTTTTTCTCTTTCAACTGTCCTTGTGCTCTTGAAATTACATATTAACACATTATCTAACACAATGGAACAGGAAGAACTGTATATGATTCTGTCAATCAATAGAGTAGACCCAAACACACACACCTGGCCACCTGCCCCCCCACACTCACACACACACACACACACACACACACACACAC